TACTTTTTTAAAATTGATTGCTCAAACCCTTCAAATTTCAATTTTTAATTTTTAATTTTAAACATTTTATAATAATAGTAAAATTAAGCTACAAAAATTAATTTAATAATGTGAGAAGGTCGTATAGAACAAAACTTTATGATGATTGATGAAATATGAATGCATATATATTTTCAGAATTTGTTTCCGATTAGTAGAACAGTGTGTAATATAATTGGCAAAAGATTGATACTTTTAGACAAAAAAAAAAAAATAATAAATAATGTTCATCTTGCAGGCGACGGTGGATATTTGACATGTGACTGCGCGTGCGGCCGTCATGGTCATAGATAAGAAATACTATTATTCAGCGGGCCGTAGTAGTCATGTGGGTGGGCGGAGGCACTTACACTTTTGACCGTTTAGTACAAACCCAAATACACGCCACGCACGCACACACTATGTCCATTGCCTTCAAACTGCCTATATTCAGCTCCTTAAAAACGATCGGTATCGAATCCATTAACTAAATAAATTAGTTTTAAATTAGTATGATAATAATATAATAAAATCAAACGTAAAGTAGGTTACACAGAATGCACATTTTTTTTATTCAATTGGTTTTGCGTGTTTTTTGCCAAAAAAAGCACACATCTTTAAGACATGTGTGCAAGTAAATTGCCTATTTTTAACTCCTTAAAAATTGGACGGTTACCATGTAAAATGGTAATATCTCAAATCGCATGCACCAACTTACTACCTATGTATAAAACTTAAATATAAACCGTTTTGCACAATTAAAAATTGAAACTGTAGTTGTAATTATTAATTAGTGTAATGATTATATTATTGTATGTGCCTAGTTGTTGGCTAATTTATAGTAAGTATAGGTACTTACTGTTTACATGTGTATTCGAAAGCCTTCAAATGACTCATTTTAACATTTTTTGACCGATACGATGTAGGCTTATAAGTTATAGTTATACTCGAAGTAGATGTACGGTTGTCAGTTTCGTAACTACCTACTACCTATACTAACTAATGGCCGCATACACTAGTTAATCATTATATCGTTGTTTGAGAGTTTAAGACTATCTATGTATATAGGTACTTTTAGGTACCTGCGTGTAATTAAAAATTTAATTATTATCTATATTATAGCAATTCTAATTTAACAAAAATAATTTGGTTAATATATTTATAATATAATATAATGTACATGATTATTGATTATTGATCTATCATATAGGTAGGTAATATTATGTTAGACCATGTCAGAGTACAACAACTTGATATTAAGACGTCTTATGCGTCATAGGTATGACCATTGACCATATTATATATATATATAACTATATGCTTATAAGTACGTCCTATAAAAAAGAATAAAAGTACATATAATAGGTACTTAAATTATTACTTACATTGTACTCGTGATTAATAAAAAAATCTATATCAGTCTATAATATCCAATCCACATCAGCATTATGTATATTATATTGCACATATTTTGTATGTTCTTTGTTGACTGTCTCGATATTAAGGAAATATGTAAATATATACCTAAACAAAAGTAAAATTGTTATAGATATTTCATTGTTCACATGACATTTAAAATGATATTTATTACGCTAGAATTATCACAACCTATTCTACAAAAAAATAAATGTAAATTACAGTCTACAATAATTTGTATTGTAACATTAATTTAGAAATACGCCTCAACTGCCAGGGTTATTGGCGTTTTAGATATACGCTCTACAATAATTATAATATGCTTTAAACACATTATTAATTTCAATAATTAGTATTTATAGTATTTATTTCATAGTATACTTACTTTGTTACTAATTTTTTAGTATTTTCGTGGTGCAAAATTTTCGAGAGTCAACTAGTCGAGAAAGTTTTGATTCTATGCTAGCCAGTGATCGGTCGTATTGGTTCGTGTTGACAAATATTGACAAAGGTGTTAAATAATATTTTTAAACAAAATAAAACCCAAATAATTTGCTTTATTTCTACAAATATATTTGGATATTAATCATTCATATTTATATAAATACTATATATTCATAGTACCTATTAGAAGGTTGTAAGGGGGTGTAGATCGACTCCTCCACATAAATACAACAATAGCTAAGATTATGTTATCATCTACAGATTTATAATAATTGTATATAGTTTAATAAATCGGCATATAATTCAAGTTTTATATTATAATTCAAAGATATAATATAACATTCCTGTATTCAAAGAAAGAACATTCACGGAAATAATATTCTGTAAAATAATATTTACATAAATTTAATCCACAAGAATTGAAATATTCGAGGTCAAAATAACTATGATTATATTATAACTATAAAAATAAATAAAATATCCAAAAATAATATATAATATTAGATATCATGCGTGCAATGATCTTATAAATATTAAATAAATTACCTATGAAGTAATACTCATAACAACCGATATAATATATAATCACATATTAGATACATATGAATCTAAAATATATCTATGTATATAGATAACAATATTACGCTAAATTATCAGTACATCCGTCATTTATATATTTTTTGTCGTATAAAACTTTCCAGTACATTTCGATAGCCAAACATTTCCCTTTGAGCCAAATTGCATATTTTAATTATACTTATACTATATAATATGTATTATAAAAATCCCAATCCTCCTATGGTGGGACGGACAATTATTTTGCTATGACTTTTTTTTGGTCAAAAATCGATTTCAAAATAGTAGTGTGATCAGTTCCTCCAATCAATTGATAATATAGTATATAAAAAATCTATAATGCTGCCATTGGCCTTATAGTCATTTAGGTATATAGGTTGTAGTACAAATTATATTATTTTTTTATATATTATATTGTGTTATATTATTATGTTTTTTATTGTAATTTTACTTATACCGTTGTTATCTTTTATTCATTATCATTGTTTTTATAAATTATTATGCAATGCACGTGCTTATGGACATGGTTGTTAAAAATTAATTAACCATCAATACAACCATGTTAATTAATTGTTATTAAGTATATTATTTAAATTTGACGTCACCAATGGCGCATGTATAACAACTTTTATTTAATAAACAATTGTTTTTCAAAGAGGGAAAATTAAGTTATCAGCGCATTATATTTTGTTGTTTCTGATTATGGCTTAATTTTTTTTTCCTCGGAACAATAGATTCATATTACCCCAGCCACCGGAATCTTCTGAGAATGGGTGGTCAAACATCGCCCTAGCTGCTTCATCAACTACACAACTTCCAAATTACTCCACACGAGCGTACAAGCGCCTGTCTATATTTTTGAGTGAATGTGAACAACGAAATGAGAGTAATGCGCACATACCGATCTCGTGGTTTGGGAACATATAGATGAGTCGCCAGATCGCCCGGGGCTCACGGGTCTTGAAATATTATGAAAAGTTGGCGAACGTATTGGTGGCCGTGAATCGGGTAGGCTAACGCGGTTCGTGACCTCGTGTCGGGTCGGTCGGGTAACCGGCCTCGATCAAACACCGTATACCTTACCTATATTAATATAATATACTGTGATGGTAATGAAAATAATATTGTACCTATATTATTATTATTATTATCCGTCCAAGGCCGTAGCAGTGGCGGAAAATATTACGATAATACTCAGATGTATTTGGCAGATCATTGCAATGTCGCGGGCTCATATACGAATCGTACGCAGCATCGATCGCCTTCGCGTCGTCTGCCAATATTTTCGTCGGCCGTTCGACTCGATCATGACTACGCCATGTGTCAACGAACCGCGTTTCACTGCCGCGTCATATCACACGTATTGGTATTACCGCTCACAATCTGCCGTAAAAACATTAAAATATCTAAAACTTCAACGTGTAAATACCACAAAATAATTATCCATTATTGTAACGAGTGATGGGAATATCTGAAACATAAATAGTACGAAAAACCAGAAATTCGATATAGGTAATTGTAGAGTGGGTTGTTTGGCCTACACTTGTATTCGAATACCAAAGCGCAGTGATATAGAATGCATGCTGTGTCGTATCTTCCTGAATTCTGAATATTATAATATACAGGTATTTACAACTATATTATAAGGGCATTTATATTTTGGCACTCGACCTTACCTAACCTATAATACAATGATGATTTTGATATACGTCATAACCTAAGTTACCAAACCTAATTATAATATTGTACTAAATAACTTAAACATAACTATAATAACTTTAGTCTAATGGTTTTTTGTTTTTTATTTTTTTTGCAAGTATGTCAATTGATCAAATGCACCGGTAGGTATATAGTATATTGTGTACTGGGTTTATCTCAGCATTTATGTATCACTAGGAATTAGTTATAAGATTTGAACTGCCTTTACTTATATGATAGATATAATAATAATGCTTATTAGCTATTAATACTTATTAATTATTATAGTAAATTATGTTTGACACATGTTAAAAAACAAAAAAATGTTTGAAGCAGTATTACTAAAAATATTTATGGACATTTCTTTGTAAGATCATTTTAAATTGTAACGTAGTGCCAGAATTTCATAAAAAATAATATAGGAATCTAATACGTAGATACCTATTCGAAATTCAAATCACTGATTGTATATGGACGAACAGCTTGATAAAAAAAAAAGAATGGTCAAATTCTTACGCGTTAAAAATAAAATGCATAATATATATGTGCAGTGTGCACGCATTCCATCAGTGTTTAACATATCGTAAATAGTTGTGGATATCATCTGAAAAATTGCAACGCGTTCAGATGCTCTACACAATTCATGCCCGTGGGAAAAACCAACTGTTGGAAGATTACTCCATAAAAATGTATTACTCTAGATACCTATATACATGCAGTATCCACAATATTTGTAACGTACTACGGCGGTCATTTTGAAGTCTTATGATAGCTAAATAGTACACATCGAAATCGCATTGGAACCAGTTTAGTGGGTACACGATGAGTGTGTAAGTACATTTGAGATCGCGTGTTAGTTTTCATGTAGACGTAGCAGTGGTCGAAGCGCGTGACGCTCGCAGGCTACGACTATACATATACTGGTATTATTACAATAATTTTTGAGGTTCATTGTCTTTGTTTTTTTATTATCATTCTTGTTTATTTATTTAAAAATAATTTAACCAATGGTTATGAAACTTATTGTGGTGAATTTTTTAATTTTGTTTACATTTAATTGTCATGGACAGACAAAATCAAGAGAAAGTAAGTAAAAATAATAATATTTATGTTTAGTGTCACAATATTGAAAATTTTAAAATAACAATTTAATAAACTAACATATCAAACATAGGTAATTATTGTACGAACGATTTTTTTATTAAATTTATTATTTGCTGCATTTTAATTAAAATTGACACGATGGTTATTTCAAAAGGTATTATGATTGTATGTCTTCAAGTTATATACTGCATAATATTATATAAAATGTACATTTTAAATAGTTAAAAACACCTAGTTCTTTATAGTTTGTATGTAGGTAGATATACAATGTGTATGTCTGGTGTCATAAAATAGTATACCTACGTTAAGTTATGAAAAAATCCTTTGAAGAGGTGGAATCTAACACTTTTTTATTTCTTTACTTAGAAGAAATTTATTCAATTTTTTTTTCAACAAAACTGAATCTATTGTACATTTGCTGATGTATCATACAATTTTTTTAATTTTTTATCGTAACTTTATTTTATTTTAAAGCTATTTTAGTGTGATAATAATTAACATACACAATTAAATTAGAAATGTATACATTATTATTATTATTATTTACAAAGCTATGTATTTTTTTAAATAATAAAAGTAATTGAGTAATAGAAAAATATAATAGTTAAGATCTACCTTTTTAAAGGGATTTTTTTCATAACTTAAGGATTCTACTATAATGTGTCACTGGCCGGTCAATTCAACGGAACACATTGAATATATTATTATCCGTTCTATAATACATAAATAATAAATATAATATTAACATAATTTGTGGTTTTGAAAGTGGTATTTGAAGTGTGTACTTATATACAAATGAATACAGATTGTTTATATACTATAATGGAGTATTAAATGGATGATACATAACTAACAACAATCAAGTGAAAAAAAAATTGACGAATAAAAAAAGATTATGCATTACCTGCAGTCATTTAAGTCTGACAAAATCTAATATTAGAAATGTACGAACATCTTTTTTGTATTTGATATTATACTATTATAGTTATATACCTATCAATAAAACTAAATTGCTTAATTTGAAAAAGATCATCATTGTTAGCTTAAAACACACCGTACATTGCAAATCTGCTTACTATATAAATTATTTAAATCTTTTGCACTCAGCTCATTTTCCGGGTTATCATTTTTGTGGACCGGGCACGGACTTTTTGGAACGCATTGCTCGTGGTCAGCTTGGGATTAATAAGCTAGACGAAGCATGCCGGTCACATGATTCTGTTTACACAGACAGCACGGATCTTAAACTGAGAATGGAAGCCGACATGAAATTGGAGATAGCAGCATGGGAGCGAGTGATAGCAAAGGATAGCAGTTACAAGGAGAAAATCGCTGCATGGATGGTGACGAATATCATGAAAGTGAAACGAAAGTGGAATACTCGACGTCTACAACGGGAATTTGGTAAAAAACGTAAGGAATTGTTGTTTTATAATTATACAATATGAATATGGCTAACTTAACCACTTGTAAGACGAAAACAAATCGTACTTAGGTAACGATAATTTTTTTTTTTATAAATTTATTAAGACTTCGACATCAAAGGTCTTCAGCCTGCATTAAATTAATATAAATAAGCGAACATTATAATTATTACAAGTATTTACATGTGTTTACAATTGATGACTTATGTTTATATTATGGAAGAATACATTGATTGCGTCCGTATTGTCTTCATTGAGTGCTTGATGGAGTGAGGTGTGGTTTTTGAGGATCTTGCGGGCTTCCGTGTATTTGGTGCAATTTATGATGATATGTTATAGTGTCTCATAGCAAGTATCGCATGCTGGTTCTTTTCTTATGAGATAAGCACGAGTTAAATGTGAGTGGCCTATTTTAGCTCGAGTAATATTTACTTCATCTCTTCGTTTGGTGTTGGGAGGATATTTTAATTTTTTAGTAGATAATTTTGCGTTTCTCAGTTTGTTAGAGAGGGGTAGGTTAGACCAGAAATTTTGCCATTCTTCCATTAATTTATGATGTATAATGTTGACATTTTCGGATGAGGTTAGTGCGTTTATCTTTGTGGAGGAAGGAGATATGGTGGCTTCATAGGCTATAGAGTCAGCTTTCTCATTTCCGGGTAACGATAATTCTACGACCATTGAACCTCACTAAACTTACGGGATAATAGTATATGAATTCAAAATATATCATAATCACAAAAGTCCCTATTATATTCACCTTTATGGGAATATTAAAAAGTTTCAACGTTCTAAAAAATATGCCTATACTACAATATTTTATATGTACGCACATATTTTATGATTTTATATTTTAAGTATTTATAGTTTGAAATTTTAAATGAGTTGGTTTATGTGTGTCGATTCGTAATGATGTTTTTGTGTTATGAAAATACCTATATGGAACTCAGTTTATATTGTATATGTTATATGGAACAAAATATATGCATCGTATATTTCATTAAAACTCACACTTTCTATTTAGAATTTTCTACACAGATATGCGTATTATGATAAAAAATATCAACACTTTCGAATGTACGATTCCACGCGAACCGTTATGAATTAAAATATTATTCAAATAATATATATTATTTCTAACGAGACATAGAATATAAAAAGGGACCGCTGTGGTATTAATACATATTATATTATACTTCGAGTGACTTTCTATATTATATTATTTGTAAATTTGAGCCACGTAGTCGTGTAAAATATTATACGATATTTTTCCACTTACTCACCAGATTTTTGCTTCGATTTTATTACAATGTATAATATGCTATAGTTTTTCGTACTTTCAATAGTTGATATTAAACAGAATTCTGTCCTCGTTATATAATATTGTTAACGATACCCTCAATTATCGTTTTTAAAACAAAACAGAAAAAAAAGATTTAAAAAAGACAATCACATTAAATTTGTATTTCTGAAGTCATTGTTGATATGAGTGCGTAATATAAATGTATATAAACTATAATCATAGTAAAAAAAAATATCCTTCGCAATGTCTTGAAACCTAATAAGGCTGTACACGATTGCGCATTTCTTCCTTTTTTAAACCGAATAATATTACAACACAATTGTACTCCACAATTTGTAACACGATTGTGATTGTGAATCGATCTCTTTTTACCCGATAAAATCACAACACGATTGTCGCACCATATAATATAATATGTATTTACTATTTAGTATGCTATACTATACATACATAAAATTAATATAATATGTTTTACATAATATATATGTATATTATATATATATATATATATATATATATATGAAAAACACATTCTACGTAAATATTTTCCATAAATTCTCTAAAGAACTAATTATTTATTCTTAATTTTCTTTCCCGATTTCAGACTTAGGACTGACAACAAACAAGTTGGCTTGGTTAAATATTGTTAAATTTTTTCTTAGTATTTTTGTTCTAAATCATATTATATAAAAATATATAACTGGTAATATTATAGTCAATATTCAGTATATATATAAAATGTATTATACATAAACTGAACCTATATATTATTACCTATAATGTGTCATTGCAGGGTGTTAATAATTTAAATTTAAAAAAAGGAAAAATTGCGCTTAGTGCTGCATTGAATTAATACAATACCTGCAGTTATCTTTAATTATCGATTTTAAATAAATTTACGAAAAATTGACTAATATCCATTTTTTACGATGTAATACGATTTGCAAGTTGTAACAAAATTTCTTTAACCATGTACCTATATATTATACAAATACCTTAACGAGAATTGTTTAAAAAAAAAAAATTTCACGAGCTTAAATCATACTAAAACTAAATATTATATCATTAAGAGGGCGCAACACCCGTATTTGTTGTCTCTGCAGTCTTACAAATGCGTAGTATAGCAAGTTTACGCTTAGAAATTCACGTTTTACTCCGTTATCTTAACAATTAGAGTGAATAGACCTATTATAAAACTTAACGGTAAGAACATTATCTGTGTTTTGTTGGAAGTTTTTTTTACGATAATTCAATTTTTAAGTGAATTATGTGCGTATAATAAATTGTAAAATAAAAATACTCAATAACTCACTTTAAAACTGAATTATCGTAAAAAAACTTCCAACAAAACACAGATAATGTTCTTACCATTAAGTTTTATGATAGGTCTATTCACTCTAATTGTTAAAATAACGGAGTAAACGTGAACTGCTGAGCGTAAACTTGCTATACTACGCGTTTGTATAAGACTGAGACAACAAATACGGGTGTTGCGCCTCCTTAATAATATTTATAATATTCATTGGCTCAAAAACGTGTACCATATATAGATCATACAACACAATACATGACAAGACATTTAATATCAAAAACTGAACGAGAAATGAGAATGGTAAAACTTTTTGATAGTTATTTATTAAAATGTATATTTTTTCATGTATATAGCTAGTGAATTGTCTCCCGCGAATAAAAAACCTCGACGGCGACGTTCAATGGATGACCATCATACAACTTGGTTGCGGTACCGATTATAATATAAGAATTATACAGAGATTGAAATAAAATAATTTTGGCTTGGAACTATAATACCTACAAACAAGTAAGTACAAATTTTACAATTCTGATGCATCATTATCGTTCTACTATTTGTCATTTAAGGAAATTTATACATTTTAAGATCCTTCACGGCCTCACGAAAATAATTAGATTTATAAACACTGATTAAATACAAATATAAAACTAATTTAATGATTGTACGTTAAATATTATATTCCATACACACTAATAATGAAAACAATGTTACCTACATATACTATGATGTGTTCATATAGAGAATTGTTCCCAAGTGCAAATGGCCAATCTGTAATATCGTTGAACCTTGGAATTCAATAGGCAATGGAATGATGTTTAGCAACTACACGCTGTGATATTATGTTTAATTAAATACATTTTTTTTTTTAAATATACGTATTACTATTATTGTAAATTCTAAAGCGAAATGTTATAAGTATTAATGACATAACAATAAATCTAAAGCGTTTTTTTTTTTTTTTTTGAGTGTTCAACAATGTGTTAATGTGTAATTGCATAGATATTATGTATATAATGTAGTTCGGTGTAATTTTTTTAACATAATAATATGTGCTTTGGAATTATAATTTATAATCTGAATAATTATATTATTATATTGTAGAAGTACCTAGTCAATAAAATATATAGTTTTTTTTTTTTTTATAGTCGTTTTTAAAATATGTTAATGGTATATATTATTATTATATATGTATATAATTAGCAATTACCTATTTATTATAATTATTAGTTATTTTCCTTCAAAATTATAATACAAACTATAAATTATAATATTATTTTAATTTCTTCTTTTTTTGGTCAAATTATATTAACTAAAGGACATTTTAAATTACTATAATAAATAATAGTTGTTATCTACAGAAGAATGGTTTTGTTCTTTTATTGTCTATACACTACGCCGTGTTAAACATCATTACATGATCAAAAGTAAGCTATTCAGGAAACCGGTTGAGATATTATATTATCATCATCTTGATTCGTTTACCTTGACTCTGGATTGTATATTAGCTATTAAACATTTTAAATCAAGTATAAATAATCGATGAGTACTAAAAATAAATAATTTCACAAAATTACAAGTTAAATAGCTTCTTATAGACATATAAGAAATTTTCGATTTTTATTATTTTTTTTAAAAAMTTTATCGATAAAAAAAAATGCTTTCCTGGTCAAAAAACTTGAAAATTGAGTATAAAATTCCTCAAAAGTTGTAATTAGTGTTATAAAAAAATATTTATACGATGCTTTTCTATACAATATAATATGATTAAAAAATATTTTGGTTCTTTTTGTGCTATATTACAGACCTTTCAATTTTTTATTTTTTTAAAACTCTTTTCTATTAACATTGATTTATATATATATATATATATACATTTTAAAATCTTTTCTGAATTCAAAATAATTTGAAAATTGAAAAATGAATAATAAAGTAAAGATAATTTTAGATTCAGGACCAAATGATGAATAAACTGTTGACGAATGTTTTACAATGATGTGTGCCTACATATACATTTTTATGTAGAACCATTAAAAACTCTTGGATTTTCAAGGAATTTTAAGATTGGTTTCAAATAAAAAATTGAATGTTATTAATACTTTGATTAATTTTTCAGAAAAAAAATACATTTTTCTAAATGTTCCCACAAAAAAAAAAATTATTTTTATTTTTCTGTACTTCAAAATAATTGAGTTAGATGTGGTTTATAAAATTAAATATAACTATCAAGTATTTAAAATTATCGATGGAAGGAGTTCTGCAATCATTTTAGAAATTCGAGGGGATTGACGATGGGAAAAAAAGATTTATATTCTCAAAGTTAAAATAAAAAAGCGAGCATACGTGCAAGTTTGCCGTACATAAGGTATTTAGGTGTCTATAGGAAACATTGTTATGGATGTGTTAACTTTGATTCCAATGATATAAAATCATTGTGTACCTATATACAATAAATTACTCTGAATGAACTAGTGAAAATGGTAATAAGTAAGTAACTAATTAGTAATTATTAAGTATATTTAATGATATTATAAATATTAAAGTGATTAATTTTTATATTAGGCATTGACACTGCAGTAGGTCAAATTAGTTTTTATATCACATTAGATTTAAATGGAAATTTTTTTATGCATTTCTGACTGACCTATGGAGCATGATTTGTTAATTTCTACAATAAAGTTGTTAACTTTCGGTATTAGATTAGATCCTGATTATATAATTTAAAGTCTGTGGGTCAAGTTAATTTATCCAACGATGAAAAAATGTCCAATTTGGTGTTGTCCGAGCAAAGATTTATTTTGTTTTTTTATGAATATAGTTGTTAAAAATGTAAATATTTACCTGTAACTTTACGCAGTAAGACAGTCTGACTACATTGGATTGCAGACAATATACGATCAGTATTTAAGGTAGGCAATCCACCACAAGTCGACATAACGATGAGCTACATAAGTGCATTTAGCCACCTAGGTAGTCAATTCATGGTAACTGTGTTAATTAAACACTCGTATAATTATAAATAGCTTGCAATTGGTAATATATTAGGAAGACTGGCAACGATAAAACATCACTTTTTTTTTATCGAGAGCCAGAGAAAGAACCGCGTTAGCATTACTTCTCCTCTGACAATGATAAAACATCACTCGATAAATAATCACCGAGTTAACTAGGTACTTTTATTCAAATTTCAAATATCTCGATAATTTTCTCGCTTTCCAAATAATGCGTATGTCACTGAACAACTGAACGAAGTAAAAAAAATTGTATCACTAACTATGGGAATTAATTGGTTAGTTAATTTTATATTATATAATCAATTAGAAACAAAATCATAAAATTACATGGGGTCTAAACTCTAAAATCTAAACAGACTGAAAAAAAATTTTTTTCTCCATGTCAATAATTTTATGCAAATTGTATTCTAATATAGAATATATTATTATATTAACAAAAAAATCAATCATTTAAAATACAAAAAAGAATATTCAATTTGTGTTTTTTCGCATCAGTCATTTAGTATTGAAATGTAGAGTATACCAAATATTTAATTCATGTTTATTTATTATTTGTAATGAGTAATGTTATATTAGCAATATATTTTAAACACGTGCATAAAACCTATATTTTAAATGAAATAAATAATTTAAAAGTGACGAATGGTACTTGTAACCAACAAGTATAACTAAAATTAGTGGTTCCCCAGATTTTTATATTATTTATTTTTAAACTACAAATTTCCACATACAAAATAATTATTGAAGCAATTTAATAACTTCGCTTTGAGGTTTTTCTTTTTTCTTTTTATCGATATTTTGATTAACACTCCAGTAGCACAATTCTCGAATTCTTAAATGAGTCATATCTATAAAAAATAGAAACCAATATTACAAAATGTGATTTTTTTATTATTTATAGAAGTTGAATAGTAAATACATTTTTAATGTATAAATATTAAATATTTAGATATTTTAGATTTTATATAGGTACACTATACACATCTATTAAATAAAATCTCATGATAGGTAGGGGAGCATGGGGCATAGTGTTACACAGGACAAAGTGTTACGATACCAATATTATTMGTATTACGCAGTTGGTAACACAAAAATAATTGCGTGAAATTATTGACTTTGTCCATGTGCATACAGCTATTGATAAGAAGGTTTAACAATAATTGTATATTAATAAATAATTTGAAAAATGTGAAATTAATTGATAAAATTAATAGAAATGTAATAAAAAATGTGAAATTAATTGAAAAAAAATTATGTTTTGTATCAGTCTAGTTTTTCTTTAAGTTAAGTATTTTTTATTTTATTACACTATCTGTCTTTTATAGAATGATATTTCGATGGAATTATTTTTTTATAAAAATAATTAATATGTAATAACCAAAATCGTTAAAAAATATCGGTTGGAGAGAATTATTATAGGGTTAACTGTTATAATGTTGCATATTAATATATTAACAGTAAAACTCGATTATATTTTATAACAAATCTTTTAGTGTTTATACACATTTAATTTACTTGTGTTTTTTAGGCAAAATTATTATACAATGCCCGGGAACTGTGCACAATGCCAAACATTTTGGGCAATGTAGGAGTCATCATTTTAATACTCGAATTGTCATCCATTGACCGGGCATTATTATAATAGATTGCCCGGACAAAATGTACCCAGCCCAGATTCAAGTGGGCAAAGTAAATAAAATACAGCACGCTGTACAAATTTATATCAAATTGCACTTACATTATACGCATCAATATCACTACAAAACTATACTTATAGTTATTTTATTCATACGCGACAACGTGACAACTGCCGACAATACGAACCGATCCGTAATCTTAACGATAAAGTGATCACATCGCTTATTACATGAACATTTTAGCTATTTGGATAATATTTCAAAATGGAATCGAAAAATGCCTACTCCATATTTTCTTATGATTATAATTACGACGGCGACGTCACGTAGGTATAGTCTGTTATTAATTAAGAGGACGCCAATAGGCCATCATATCCGCATGTGTTGTCCCGTCTTACAAGTGTGCAACATATTATCAAATTTATACTTAGCACTTAGCTGCTTAGCAGATCACGTTTAGCTCCATTAGTTTAAAAATTAAAGTGAATTTGAGCTCTTATAAAATTTAAAGGTATTATCTTTGTTCATATTTTATACCTTTACTTTAAAATCAGAAAAAAGACTTAGAAAAAGCTCAAGGCTGTGGAGATGTCATCGAAAACATAAACGAGAAAGACAAAAAAAGTGATGTAAGTGATAAAGTCAGTGAAAAACATTTTTTTTAAGTACAATGTAATATGTTTTATTTAATTTTTAATATATTTAATCGGCAGCTTCCAAATCTAATTGGGCACTGACACACTGTATAAAATACCCGGATAATGTTAACTTATTTCAACTTTGCCCTTGAAAATCCATTGTACACAATGCCCGACTTCATACTTTGCCCGTAACACACACACACACATATATATAT